CTCCCTTAAGGCCTCCTGTGTGCCGGGGACAAGGGTAAGTCCACCGTGGACAGGGCTTCAGCTAGACATACATGGGGACATACATGCCAGAGGCACGTCCTTCAGCTAGAGAGCAACAAAAGATCGTGCAAAAAGACATATATACCAAATTATTTCCCAAAGCAGTTATTAAACAAGGCAAAGAGGCTCCTCTGGATGAAGAGGAGGGTTTGCAGTCCTGGCTGAATGTCGTCAAAACTTCTTGGAAACCGAGACTTGAAACAAAATGACGTCTAATGGAAGCTGGTCCTAGAATAATGCTGTGTCTTTCAATGCCAGCCAGAATTTCTTTTTTCTCATTATTACAACAAAATAACACCAACTGAAATGACTGACTTTGGAGTCCCTGCTGTGCCTGCACTTAGGCAGGTGAGAAGAGGGGTAGGGCGTAGAGGAGGGCCGGAGAAGGCCCCGCCGCAAAGGCAGCACATCTGGATGCTAGCCAGAAGCCAGCATACAGAAATGAAAAGGCACCAGCCAAACAAAAAGTCAACAGAGCAAGGATACAGTGTGAATGAGGTACAGGACACCCGCCTTTTATACTAAGCCCACTGAGCCAGATTACGATCTATGTTTCAGGTACTGCAATGCATAAAACCATGAGATCCAAGGAATTTGCCCAGGAAATACTCTACATTAGGAGTTAGCCACAACGAACAGAATGCAATCACAGTGGACAGTCGCACAGGGTCTTTGACCCTTGTAAGGCATCGGATCCTGCCAACAGTGTTCACAGACTGCACTGTGTCCCGGAGATGGTCCCACCACTCTGCTACCCGGCCCTGGAGTCAGAGCACAGAAAGGGCTAGGTGGCAGCTCTGAACCTGGCTCCACAGGCTTCTCCAGCAGAGCTGCGCCAGAGGAAGGGTCGCAAGAGTCTACATTTCTCAGGAATAAACATGTAGAATTCTTATAACTTCCCACCCATCCCCAACCAAGAACCACCAAGAAGTCCGCAAAAGGACCAGCCACACAAGAAAATCCTAAACATGACTCAGAACAAAGAACAGGTTAATATTCTCCTAGGAGAGAGCTCACTTGGGGCTCATCATATAGTATTCAGCAAACAACTAAGCACCACCAAGCCAGGCACTGTTGGGGATTCAAATGTTATTCACTACGAATTGTATTCTGAAGATGCTTGATAAGATGAAGGTATGGCTATAAAGAACGAAAGTATAGGTTCTGTCTATACAAAGTGCCACAAGAGAGGTGCAGCTGAGACTATTACTTCAGATCAGGGTTAGAAGAGGCCCATGGAAAGGTGTAACTTGAGATTTTTTTCCTGAACAGCTATGAAGATGGCACCATGTAAGTAAAGGGTGGTGGGAGAGAGGCATTTCAAATGGATAACACAGTGGGTGCAAAGCCAGGAGGCAAGGGGAGGGAAGGGAGTGACTTTAGAACTCCTTGCCTATGTAAGACACCGCAGACACATGGGTAAAGTTGTGGAGGAAAAGCAGGGAGGATAAATCAAAAAAGCATGGGGCCACTCCAAGGAGGAGGGGGGTAGCGAACAGCCACCAGCTTAGCAAAAGTCACCAACAGCGGTGTGAATGAGAGGAAGGGAAGACATGAAGAATTTTGTACAGTGTCAACAGTTTAAAAGTTCAAACAAATAGGCTTCAAAAAGATGAGAAAAGGGCCAGAAACAGAGTCAAAGAATTAGCAATTCCCGAGGTGGCCTTTGACAGTCGTCTATGGAATCCTGGTCTGAGCCAGGTTCTCTGCTACGTAAAAGAATAGAAAGGCCCGGGCCCTGCCCTCTGCGCAGTCATTAGCAGGCCACAAAGAAGTCCAAACTGGTTGACAATGTGATCCCCATTTTAGACAGCTCTAAATTGAGGCAGTGCCACCCCACAGAGAGCTGGGGTATTGGGGGGAAGGGTGCAGGAACAGGAACAGGTCACACAGACTGAAAACTGTTCAACTACATCAGGTGCTTATGAGAAACTGAAGTTTGCTGATTTGCAGGAGCAACATAAAGCATTCAACAGTCAAGTACAATAGTGTAATCACCCCCATTCTGACACTCCATACAGAAGAGTTCTCCCCCATCCTGTATGAGAGGAAAATTAAACAAATGATACATGCTTTCAATAAGCGTAGCGGAGGAAATACTGCTCCTGATGGAACTAAGAGAGCTATTACTGTGGGAACTGGGTTGCAGCGTTTCCATGGCGTCAGCTGCCACTAGTCCCTGCAAGTCCACAAATGAAAGCTGCATAGAAACTTGAGGTTGTTTATATATTTAAATTAAAAAAAAAACCTCAGTCTGGGAAAACTTGCTGCCCCCAAGGTAATTGCAAATCCCCAGAGCTAGCTGAAGCTACATGCAGCCCAGGCCAAGCATACACTGGGCTGGTGGGGGCAGCCACGCTTCTTACCCAGCAAAAGAAATGATTTCACGAGAAACAATTTGTCACTGACAGCAATGTCTTCCAGCAGTCTGGCCTGGAATCGGACTCTGAGGGCTCCACATACTTTTCCTACAGAACTATGAGAGCACTAGCTGCCTGACAGGTACAGCCTTGCTACCCATATGGGTCTCTGTCCTTGGTCTCGCTGTTCACATTAATTGAGAGGTATTTACTACAGATGAAAAATAAGCTTCCTTCAGCTGCCGCTAAACCGATCCCAAAAATAGAGCAATCACTTTGGTATAAATTGGGTCAAATGTATTAAAAAAAAATAACCCTGCTCCCTGGTGGGAGGACTGACATGGCATGGGACCTCGCTCAGAGTGGGGGGGGGGGGGGGGGGAGCAGATCACAAAGATCTTCACTTCCCACAGAGGGAAAGGAAGTATTTCAACAGTCAGGCAGAGAATAAACTCATCTGACCATGGGACCATCCCAGTGAAACCTTGCACAAGCTTAGATGCTCTGAGTTTCAGAATATAAAGAGATCAAAGGAATGAAAGTTGGTCTTTACAAAGGTTTTCCATAGCAACATACTCCCCCTCCCCACAAAAAGAAAAAAAGACTGATGCTTAAGAATTGTCAAGAAAGGATCACTGGGGAGGCGTTGCCAAGGGAAGAAGAAAGATTTTTTTATTCTCATACTTCACCCTCACGTAATAGCTGAGAAAGCCAAATGATCGAACAGCACTTACAGAGCTGCCCTGAATTTCCCTGGGAAAATCAGAATATTAATTGGCTTACACATGCAGCTACCTTAATTATTCCATTGATCTGAATTAATCTGCCTTTCTGAAAGGTATTTATTTTCTAACTTTATTTAATCATGCTCTCTTGAGTACAAAAAGCAACAAACTGGGTCACCATCCACATTGTTAAATTTGGTAAGAAGACTGACACCATCTGTGGCCCAGACTATGATAATCTATCCCCGCTGAAGGGGGACTTCTTACTACTTCTGCTGTTCCTTTAAATGATCTTTAACCTCACATGTCTACAACCAAGTCAGAAACTATTTAAAACATCCAAACTTACATAAATCATCTTCAATATAGAATAAGTGAATATATACAACCAGAAAGTGTTTATATGTGTAGTCCATATTCCAATTCCCATTTATAGTTGTATTTGCAGTAGCACAGCCAAACATTTCTTAAATTTTCGAGACATCAGACTAGAAAGGCCCAAATATGAGTAGACATGATACTACATCAGAAATATGCCACAACATTTTAAATATAACATGAACTCCTGGACATAAATCATTATGGCCAAAATCACAAGAGCATAATTTCAGTTTCTTCTGCACCCAATAGAACACACACACACAGTTTTTCCGTCAACACTCACTTAATGAAGAACATCCAGCCCTACTAAAACACGACTTCAACAAGAGAAACCAAAGGCAAGTGAAACCAGCCAAAAAGGGGAAAGTAGAACAATACTTTCCTGTTATCCCACACTGGCTCCTTATCTGCCATTGCATGGTCTCCAATTACAAAAGGCTGATCCTTGCGAGAAGGATGCTAAGCACCAAAAGATCCTAAATGGCTTCTGAGTCCTCAAGAAAGATTACAGAATGTCAGAGGCAAAAAAAAAAAAACAAAACCCGATCCTTGTGATCTTCTCTTCCAATCCCCTTAGTTGACAGATGAGTGAGTGGCAATGCAATAAGAGTATGGGAAACGCCCCAAAATGCTAATTGACAGTCAGGTAGGACAAACTCCTAGCCTCAACATGCTCCTTAGAGTTGTTGTTGTTGTTGTTTTTTAAACAATATCAACCTTTCCCAAAGGAAGTTCCATGAAACTCTGGTTCTGTAATGTGCACTGCCAAAAATATGTTTAAAGAATCCATGACCAATTACTTTTAAGGACAAGCTGCATTAAACAAACTGAAACTGGTTTTTTAACTACAGACCCTTTTGGAGCTTTTGCTAAGCTAACGTGTGCTATAAATCTTTAATAGGGCAATAAAGTATATGGAAGTGTCCCGATTTATCTAACCATAGAATTATTTTATCTTAGTATAGCTCATAGGAGTAGAAACTTCAGTGCTATACTATATTCTTCTCCAAATTACACTACTTGTAAATTTATTGGTTTTGATGTACTCTCTTCTCTGAGAACTAATCATTTGTGTACAAAATCTACAACAATTTTCTACTTACCAGGAAAAAATGACCGAAGTACCCACCACTCTCCAATGACACTGGGCTTAAAACAAAAAACTGATATTATCAGGAAAAGAACAGTAGACAACAAAAGCCTATGTAGAGAGAAAGGTTATTTTTAAATCTGCTACAAACCTCTTCCATAAAGAGTTCCACATCTATTTATACAAAATTCATGACTTCAAACACTTTCATTCATTATAAATTTGAAAATACAGGTCAAAAAAAACCCCACACTATTGCAAAGCTCCAGGAAACATCACATGCATAGCTGTAAACTTCAACCACCCAGAAAGCCAGCTGTAGTTCAAGTACAGAGCAAAGGATAATCATACATCAGGACAAGCAAGAGCTCCGAGGACACTTACCAAGTTATGATTTGTTGAATTAGAATCATCTTCAGGGAATGGGATGTAAATAGCTAAGGCCACACAATTGGCAAAAATAGCCAATAATATAAATATGTCAAATGGTCTGAAATTTTTTGTTAAGGTACATATGTGTTATGCAAACAAAACTCATCTCTCTCAACACACTCCCAATCACACAACTTTTGAATCACTTCTAAAACAAAAATTATATACATCAATGCTTTGTCAACAGACCGTTAGGACTTCTAGGTTTGCGGAAGTAATCATCAGTCGATCTTCCTATCAAATGACCTCTCCATGTCCTTTTCTTCTGTTACAAGGATCACATTACACTCATTCTTCCACTGTACATTTTATATTAAAACCTAAAAGTACATCCAGTTAGGGCACTGTGTGAACCAGGTTTCTGCTTCTTGCAGTTGTGAAAGCAACATGGACCTTAGAAAGCTAAATTCCTGGCTGTTGTAGTCACAGTGAGAATCATCATGAGCCAAATCCTTGCCTCCATGTGTTACAGCCATTTTCTTGGGAAACCTTTGCTGGGAGGGAGGGGGGAGGTTCCTCAATTACCTGGTTTCAGAATGGATGGAAGCAGGTCAAATCTCCAGGACCTTCTCCATTCCACCTGTGACTATCTTGCAGCATATTCCAAGACCTCAGATACTAAAATAAACAAGCCAGGTTTTAGCTCCCTTCTCTGCATTCTGTACCAGAGACATGAATGGCTATCACTGTTTCAGATTAGAGCTGAGTGGAGCTCAGTCTATAATGTGGTTACCGCATTCAATTTATAAATAAATTAAATAGGAAGCCTTAAGAAATTGGCACCAGACACTTGCAAAGCACAGTTTTAACAATTCTAAATCTCGGGGGGTCTGTGTGGAAGACACAGCCTCCAACAGATACTTGCTTAAACATTCTGGTGTTATTAAGAGATACTGTCAAAACTGGCAACACAAAATTTGACATCTGCCAAAATGACTGTTTTTCTTCTTTGGGTTTTCAGCCTTTCCAAATGTAAGGTTTCACGAGCACCAACCTAATCTGTGATACCCAGGCTTGAATTTACAACTGTGTTTCTCCCATACACTCACTCACAAAAGACAAGGCCACTGGGTAGCTAACGAAATACCTCCAAGTACTAAGGATTTTAGGGCAGAACAGACATTTCCCCATTCATCCCGACATCCTTCTGGACAATCTAAAGATGCTGAAGGAAACAAAGGCCCCTCAGCCCTTCTGAGATACCTTCTTGGGGTTTCATGAAAACTTAGCCCCTTGAAAAGCTTTTGTGCTCACTGACATAAGGACACTAACTTTATTCCCTTACTAATTTTGATGGGTTTATTTTTAAGGCCAGTTAGCTTTCATTCATACTTAACTCTTTTCACTCATGCAGAATTACAAAATCTTTTGTTCAAGGATCCAGCTTTATAGCCATCCATGTTAAAAAAAAATTTTTTTTCAAAACCTCCTTTTCATTTTCCTGTTAGCAGTTCCTATGGACATTTTTAAAGTCAATTGTCACAGTAGTATAGTATAGTACAAGAAACGTACTTACGATCTCTCCCACCCCCAACACCACCATTCTTCCTTCTTAATTTCTTAATGCCTAAATGATAGACCAGCACACCTCGGAAGAATGAACACTGTTCAAGAAAACCGAAAAAGATGTATTTTTCCTCTACAGTGAACCAGTTTCAGTCTCCAGCATTGGTAATCACTCTCTCACTGCCACAAGAGGTTTACCAGACAAGCAGAGTTGAGCAACAGAGAAATAGATGGCACTGATCTAAAACTTCCTTCTGGCAAGGTGAATGTACCCCAAGCCCCCAAGGTGCAAGACCCTCTGCCTTGCTTGTCAGTAAAAGACAAGAGCAGACTCTCATTCTTCCAAAGCTGACAGGGCCTGGGGCAGCGGCTTTAGGAGGATGTCTACAGCCTGCTCCCAGAACTATTTGCAAAAATGGAACTGCCCAGCGTGGGCCGGCTTCTCCGGCACCAGCAGTCTGTCCCCTAGTTCCTGTGCACGTGTGTTTGGCAACACAGTTAGGGGAGCCAGCAGCATGATCCAGGAATGCTCTCGGTACACATCAATTGCTATACACAAATTACTGTGCACAAAGAGAAACAGCATCACGCCTCCCAGCTTACTCCACAGGCAATTAATGACCCCACTGAGAGGTCTCTGCTTGCTCAGTGTCTGAGGAGATCTTTCTGGCTGACAGCAAGCACTACCCCTGACTCCAGGAGGCCAGGGAGATGCCCCTACTCACCTGGCTCCCTCCTATCCTCAGGGTAGAAAAGAGCTCAGAGAGAAAGCACAGCCATACAACCTCAGCTAGGTGAGAGACACCACAACTCCCTCTAGAGAAGAGACATCTGTTCTAAAAAGGAAAAGCACATGAAAAACCCCTCCAATCCTACCCTTGCATTTGGCTGTGTTCTCCAAAACCTTTCTAGACAGTTACCTCATTTTAACTCGTGTCTATGTGCAGAGAAAACAGCCAGCTAAGACAGAGGGCACACATAAACATCTGCCCAGCTGGGTATTCGCATGATAAAGGGGTCTCTGCCCCACTTTGGCATCTGTTGCCAACTGTTGCCAACATCCCCACTCTTCAGCAGGGCCTCTGCACCCTGCATAGCATGGAGGGGGATCCCCTGTATTCCTAGGATTAGCACCTGCTCTAAAGCCCCTGCCAGCCCCAAATCTGCTTCTGTGAAAAGGAAATGCTTTATTTTACCCAGACCAGTGAATCATCCAACTAATTAGAAAGCAGTTTGCTCAGAAGGCCTCAGTCAACCTTTTCTGAAGAGTGGCAGTCTCTGGGGTCTGGCCTCAGGGGTGAGGAAAGGGGTGAACAGGCAGAGAACCTTACTTCTCCAAGACCTGTGATACAACAATCACGCTGGGGCATTTGGAGTTCAGTTTTAAAAATACGAAGGAGACACCCAAAAGTGGAACTCCAATCCAAGGACACAGACAGAATTTTTTTTACAAAGGCAGCAACTGCAAATTCCTCCACTGACAGAGCTGTTCTTTAACTCATGAGGCCTCAGGAAGAAGAAGCCCCACAAGCCACTGCCTCCACTTGCTGCCCCCTGCTCACATTTCAAATGCCCTTTTTTGAAATTACTGAGAGGAAATTCCAGAAAGTCATAGCATTGATGTACAAATTGCTCCATCCCTAGGAAGCAAGGGTTCATATTTGTAGCTACCTGAACAATTAAAATCACCAAATGTCAGAGTTAGAAGCAACCTCAGCATTAATTGGGGCTTCAGAAGCAAATTTCAGACACCAAGATGAGAAGATTCTACTAAAGGTCAAAAATGTATTCACTTCTACAATGTCAAAAAGCCTTTAAAAAAAAAAATCACCCTACCTTATTTGCATAGGCTCAGGGCATACCTCTACCAAAAATAATGACCTATTTCAAACTAACCATCTAATGTCAAAGGACTTCATGCTTTAGTTACCTACCACTTTGATGTTTCAGACTGCCACGGCCACACCCCTACCACTATCACCATCACACATACACACGCGCGCGCACACAGCAGCTCTGTGCACTCACAGAGCCTCCCCTCTGCACCCAGGAGGTATCACAATGAAACCTTTACATACAGCTTCTTCTGCTGCTCACATTCCAGACTGCTGCTGCTTCCTAAGTGCCATTTCAGAAAGCAAATCTTTTAAAAGAACAGATGGTAAAAGAGAAAATGAGAAAGACATCTTCCCCCCCCCCAAAAAAAAAAAGGATACTTCCATTCCACTATACTAATGCAGGCTCTTCGGATGGGGTTATTGAGTGATAAACAGAAAAGGGCGCGGGCAGGTCGGCTGTTGGACGAGTTACCCTGTTTTTTGCTCTTGGCGTATTGCTGACGTTTTCTTTGGGAGAGAGATCCTACAGGTGGGGGTGCGGAGGTGCTCATAGTTTGGGCAGCCTTGGCCTGTCTAGCAGCATCGATTGCAGCTTGCCAAGACAGGACAGTCTGCTTGGAGCTGTTCGGCTGAGAAGTTGGTCCTTCACCAGAAAGAGGAAGTCTGCTGCCTCTTGCATAGTTTGCCTCTGGGAAGAAGAAGAAAAAGAAAAATTAAAAAAAAAAAAAAAAACAAAGAAAATCCTGTACTGGAAAAGACCAAGGTTGTTTCCCTGGCAATAGGCAGGGGGAATGACCCCCATGTTTCCACTTTGAACCTCATGCCTCCCAAGTGGCATCCAACATGTCGCGTCTTCACAGGGTGTCTCATCTTCCAAGGAGTCTGTCAGTGTATTTCTTCCAACAGAGGTCATTCACATATCCATTCCACGTCTTCTCTGACTTTTAAAAACCATGTATTGCTAGTGCGTTAACAGATATGTACAACAGCTTCTCTCCAAAACAACTACCTCCATCTCACAGTGCCAATAATTCAATAGTCTTAATCATTTTCAGGGTGTTACTCCAACATCTTTCCACAGGCACAAAAACATTTTTTTTTTTCAGCATGGGAAAAGAAAAAAAATCCCCCACTGGCACTAGGGCAATACCAAAAGCCCCATAACAAATACCTAGATTATGCACTGACACTTCCTGCAAATGAAAATTCATGATGCTTGGGACTCATTTCCTCCACAGGCTTCCAACAACAGAAAACATCTTTAGGGCTTTTTTGCATTTTAAATTGTAGCCACAGCAGCCAAGACAGCATTCAGAGAGACAGATGAGGCAGGCAGCCTGCACCCTTACACCTTGGATAGCCAGGTTGATTGCGCCACGCGACCTTCAAGGCCTAAGCAGAAACCATACCAGTACAGGCTGGTACCCAGGTGTACACAGAGCATGACTCCACAGAGGCTCTCTGTGGAAGACCCATCTGTCTTTGGGTCAGGTCACCACCCAAGCAGGCCTCCCCAGCACCTGCCTGTCATGGGTCACAACCTCCTTACTAAGACAGAAACCAAAGTGGGAGAAGTGGCAGAGATAGAGGGGTGGACATTTCAAAAACCAATACTCCCTAGTAAAGCAGGAGAGTCAACGCAAGGCAGGTCTGCCTGCCCAGTGGCCTGAGGAGTGGCTAAGAGGGCAGGCAGCAAACAGTCCCAAAATGAAGAGAAGTCCTGCCAAGCCTTTCCTTCGGGAAAGCTAACTCGGGAAGGCAAGGAGCCCACCCAGGGTTGGGTGCCTTCGACCTCCAAGGAGGAGGCTGGAGGACTAGCCAGGTGCTACTCCTGCCTCCCTCCAGCCAGCCCAGCCGGCGTGGTAAATGCACGTGGTGCCGGGCCAGGCTGGGGAGGGGAGCCCCACAGCGGGAGCGGCTCCGGGCATTGCTAGGTTACCGTCGTGTGCGCCGCCAGCGCAGGGAGAGGGAATAAGCACGCCACCGACCCCCTTGCTCGCAATTCCTAGTCCCGGCCTCCCTCTCCAGGGGAGGGGTGTGCTTCACCCACCGGCGGGAAGGGCGAAACCTAGAATTTTCCCGATGCCACCAAAGACCTTATTCTGAGACTACTGGGGCGCGGGGAAGGTGGGAAAGGCAAAAGGAGCCTGGAGAGGGGGCTTAGGTGAAGACTAACAGCCATCCTTCCGTAGCTCGGAAGCGTTGGAGGAAAGTTGAGCCCGAGGACACTGAACCCGAATCACCTCCCATCCACCACCCCTCTGGCTGCACGGCACTCCACAGACTCCACGGCCGCCCCCACCCCACAAATGCAGAATTAACTCTGACATTCAAGGCCTGAAGGGGAGAGCGGAGTGGCTGTCACGCATCTCCCCTTTCTATGTAGCTGACACCGAGCTGGAAGCATACTCTGCAGCCCCCTCAACCCACCCGGCGCATCAGAGACGGGAGGGGGTGAGAACGCAGAGGGGGTGGGAAGAGGAGGACCATGACAAGGACTAGATTTGGCAGAGGGTGCCCAGGCTCTGGCTGCTCACCGTTCGCGTGGTCCGCTTGCTGCTGCCGTTGATGCTGCATTTTTTTCATCATCATCATCATCATCATCCACGAACATTTATTGAGCGCCTACTGTGTGCAGGGCACTGTGCTGGGCGTTGGGGCGGGGGAGGAACGGGTAAGGGGGTTACGGGTAGGTAGGAGCTGCGGTCCCTGCCCTTATTCTCGCTTTAGCAGGGGGTGGGGAGGGACGAGGACAGATAACAGAAAATACGAATAATTTATAAAAACCGCTCTCCACCCAAGCTCCCTTTTTCAAAAATGGAGCAAAATAAACTTTTTTTAAAAATAAGATCAGATGTATATATTATCTTAATAATATATACAGGTAATTTTTTGCTGCAAAGGAGAATTGGCTGGTCTCGTCCTCTAGCGGAGGGACGCCGCGGTGATGCCGGCCCGGCCGCCAGGGCCGCTCCG